GCCGCAGGACGATGCATCTCAGCCGGGACTCCGCCCTGTGGTGGGCAAGGGATCGGGCAGTTAGGGTCCACCCCAAGGAGGGGGGGGAAAAAGAGGAGTGAGGAGATGCCAGAGCAAGCACAGCAGGGAGGTACCTCTCAGCGTGTCCCCCTTACCGCGTGACCAGTGCAGAACCGAGGCTCTCAGCGATCTCCCCTCGGCAGGGACACCATACCCTGTGATGGTCACTTTGGGGAAGCTTTACCTGACGCACCCTTCCTGCAGGGGCAGCGGCTCCACGTGGGTGGTGGTGCCCACCAGGTAGACGGCTGTGTCCTTCCTCCCGCGGTGCCGCACGCTGACAAAGTCCCTCTGACCCACCAGATTGCCCGGGCTGGGAGTGGTGACCTCGTGTGTCACCAACGTGTCCATCCCGACGTGCCGCAGCACCTACCAGAGCAAGGGGAGCCCTGGCGATTAGGCTCCCTGGGGTTGCCATGCTGGAGACACCCTGAAACCCCTTTACTCTTGCCCAGCAGCACGAGCAGAAACAGCAGCGAGGTGGGAGTTTGGGGCTGGCACCTGGGGATAATGAAATCCCAATCCCCTGCAGGCTGGTAAGGGGTGCAGAGGGTGATTTTTGCAGCCTTTTTTTTTTCTTTTTTTATCAGGGATGAGACTCTCCCTGTGCTATTTCTTTTTCTGATGGGACAGGGAAGCGGTAGCAATAAATAAGCAGTGGCTGGGGAGCATCTGAGCCAGCCCAGATGAGCCAAGGGAGGTTTTCTGAAGCTGGCAGCTTGCTTAGGGATCTGCTGTGATTTGGGAGCTAAGAAATAAGGCAAATACTCAAAAGAAGCCCAAGACGACACACAAGCTTCCTGGGGGTGACTCCACAGCATGATAGAGAATCACAGAATAGTTTAGGTTTGAAGAGACCTTTAAGATGATCGAGCCCAGCTGTTAACCCAGCACTGCCAGCTCCACCACTATATATTTGGTTTTGCCTTTTTTTTTTTCTCCCTCTTTTTTGAGCTGTCTGACCAGCTTCTTCCCTGATATGAAAGTCTGAGCAATGTCTGAGTCCCCCAGGGTGACAAAAACCTCTGTGAACGGGCACTGTGAGGAGAAGAGTGCTTGGAAACAGCACGTTTCTCACTGCCACATGGGTAAAGCACATCTCTCCCTGGGGTGCTATCCTGCTCTTGCAGGAGCACAGAAACAGCTTTAATCCTTCAGCGATCTTAAGAACCTCAATAAAGATGATTTTTTTTGGATGCTAGCAATCTCAGTGATGCCAAGCCTGGGACCTGGCATCCCTCCCTGCCTTACCTTCACCTGGCTGAGGGTCGGGTTCCACTGGGGCATCTGCTCGATCTTCTCAAAGAGCTCCTGGTGCAGCCGTGCCACTGGTACAGCCAGCACCACCTCTGCCCGAAACACCTTGCCCAGCCCGGGGAGGGCAGCACTGGACACGGTGGCCCCACTGTCCTGGGAGGGCAGAGAATCAGAGAAACACAGACTAGTTTGTATTGGAAGGGTCCTTTCAAGGCCCTCTAGTCCAACTCCCCCTGCAGGGAGCAGGGACAGCTTCAACTAGAGCAGGTTGCTCAGAGCCCAGTCCAACCTCACCTGGAATGGTTCCAGGGATGGGGCTTCTACCACCTCCCTGGGCAACCTGAGATCTACAGGGAGCTTCTGTCAACCCCAAACACCCTGAGGGGCATCAGATACATGCTGAAATGCCTTGCTAATAAACCCAGTCCTCATTTTTTATCACTGCTTGGTTGACAGGCGAAATTTATTGTATCTATATCAAGTCATGGTGATTGTTGGGTTTTTTGAAGCTCCTTTCTAGCCAAATTAAACTACTCAGCAAACAGCTTAATGAACCAACAATGTAAATAACAACAAAGTTCTTTTTTTTTTTTTTTTCTCAGAAATCCCCTGTTTTTCCCCAGGAACACGATTATCTGAGTTTTCCTCTCCAAGCTTTTTCCTGCTATTTGCTTTGCAGATTTGCTTGTGACCATGCTTCACGAAGGCTCGCTTGGAAACCCTTCTTGTTGCTCATGCTTTTGCACGGCACGTCCCCTGTGCCTGCAGCTTCTCTTCAAGCAGGAGGAATAAGAGAAGCAAATCCTCCCCCTCCCCAGACTCGTTTTCTCCTCCTGAAAGCTTTTCTGGCAGCTGGGCATTACCAGCATGGTTTCTGTCTGCCAGCTGGTGTGGTGCTGCAGGATGCTCAGCGCCCGCTGCAGGGCCCTTTCGCCCTGGGTGATGTAGGAGAGGTCCACGCTGGAGAACTGGCTGGGGCTGATGTCTCTGGCAGGCTCGGGGCACGTGGCTGTGGGAGCAAGGCAGAGCAATGTGAAAAGCCCCCAGCCTGGCTTTGCCAGCACACGTGGCTGTGGGTACAGGAGTGCAAAGGGAGCTGGGGCAGAAGGTTTTGCTGACCCGAAGCCTTGGCTGTTAGCACACAACTCATCCCCTCTTGGGCTGGGGGATGGGTGTAAGAGAACGACTCTGATCCCCCAAATATAGCTCAAGTCATATGGAGAGGGGTGCATTTTAATATGCATCTCTCCATTGCGTGTTGCAAGGGCGTGGTGAGCAACGTGGTACCCAAATGCCCGGGCTGAGCTTACCTGTCTCCTTCCCCATCAGCCTCTGAATATAAAGAGGAATTCTGGAAGGCAGGTGGTGGGATCTTCTCACCACCAGCCCTCTCACGTCCTTCTGTACTGCTGCAACAGCTGTTCTCTTTAAGCCTAGGGGAGAGATGCGTGGGCTTTGGTGAGCATGGAGTGTGCAAAGGAGATCACAGAATAGAATCACAGACTGGTTTGGGTTGGAAGGAACCCAAGGTCATCCAGTCCATCCCCTCTGCAGCGAGCAGGGACATCTGCAACCGGAGCAGGTTGCTCAGAGCCCTGTCCAGCCTCACCTGGATGAGGTGTTTGATGTTCCAGGGATGTGGCTTCTACCACTTCTCTGGGCAACCCATTCCTGTCCAGCCTCACCTGGATGAGGTGTTTGACGTTCCAGGGATGTGGCTTCTACCACTTCTCTGGGCAACCCATTCCAGTGTTGTCACCACCCTCAATGTAAAAAATTTTCTTCTACCTAGCCTGAATCTCCCCTCCTTTAGTTTAAAACCAACACCCTTTGTCCTGCTGCAACAAACCCTGATAAAAATATTGTCTCCATCTTTCTTATAGGTCCCCTTAAGTACTGGAAAGCCACCAGAAGGCTTCCCTGGAGCCTCCTCTTCTCCAGGCTGAACAACCCCAACTCTCTCAGCCTGTCCTCCTAGCAGCAGCGCTCCAGCCCTCAAGGTGTGGCGGTCCACATCTCTGCTGGACCTTCCTTTGCAGCTAAGACCAGGAGCATCTCTGGCTGTTCTCCCCGAGGTGGGAGAGGGTCCGAGGGGTGCTTACCGGGCAGGTGGTCGTGGGCGATGGCGCAGCAGAGCTTGAGGGTGGCCTGCAGCATGGCGTGGGAGCGGGGCTGTCTCGGGGGCACGCCGGGCCCCGTGCCCCTTTATCGCCCGCCCGAAGGACGGCACCTGGTGATAGGGCCGCTGCCAGATAGCAGCTGGGAATAGGGAGTACTCAAGGCCACGGCAGGAGGAGGGGCCGGAGGGAAAGGCCACGCTTCCCTCTGAATGAACAGCCCCTGCCTTGCCTCCTGCCCCGGGCAGGCAGCTGTGGGTGAGGTGGGACCATCGGTCACCCCCAGCGCCACTTGGTTTGGTAAACGCAAGCCGGCAAAGGCAACCGGGGACTTGCACGGAGGGAAGGGTGGGTGGGAGGTGAGCCCACACCTTGAAGCCTGGGGTCAGTTTTGGGCCCTTCACTCCAAGAAGGACATTGAAGGGCTGGAGTGGGTCTAAAGAAGGGCAACGAAGCTGGAAGAGGGTCTAGAGCCCAAGTCTGGTGAGGAGTGGCTGAGGGATCTGGGGGTGTTGAGCCTGGAGAGGAGGAGAGTC